AAAAACGTATGTTCTATAGTTTGAATGTGTGTAGTATGAATTTTATTCATATGCATTTCAGAAATAGTACGTCATCTAGTATTGACTTAGCTGTTTTATGAATACTGTGAATTCTGACATACTACTTCATGCACATATTGTTTTTCACCTAGTAGGAAAGTATGCGATTTCGGATGCAGCCACTGTCTTTATGAGGGAGTCATTGAATTATTCACTCAACCTGATAAGTGACTGATTTTTTCCATTTTCACAGGCACAATGCAGTATTTTTCATAGAAATCACCACAATCAGTAATTTCGAGTGAGGATGAACAATTTTTCCACAGATCTTGCATTGGTTTCAGTTGATCATGCAAATTTGCTATATAGACCATCAGACAGCTGGTTGATTTGAAATTGACTTCTGTGTGACCTTTACTTCATACATACCTACGCTATTGATAATAGACAAAGAACATTTTTAGCTTAACTTTAGCTAATGTGAGCCACATCTTTACTAATTATTAACTTATTGCTTATTGATCTGTTTTATAAAAGAAATACCACATTTGCCATTTTTCTCTTTTCAAATTTAAAATGACTTAAAATCTGTCAACCTTCAAAACACATAATAGGAATGGCGTTTGTTCTTGTTGACTCTCCTCAGTTTGCGTCACAATCCACAGGAGATTAAGCTCACTTAATCAAATACTGTCAAAGGAAGGACAGTACGCCCCGCTATACCTCCATCCACAGGTGCGAGGTCATTTACGTTGCCAAGCGATTGTCCCACACACACAACCAGGTGTTTACATTCTCTCTCTCTCCATGCCTTTAAATGGCTTTTCCCCCTTTCCTGTCCTTTTTTTCTCTATAACGAGAAATCCGTTTGAACGACTCCACTGCGACTCGGTGTTAGAAATATGCAGCTTTAATTCTGAGCCCCAGAGCCTTTATTGCCATTTACATCCTCATTACAAATGACCAGGAATCCATTAGGTTCCTGTCATCCCCCGTATCTCATTAAGATGGGCTCTATCTAGCCCACTCCTGGAGGCCCAGCCCAGGGACAAAAAGAAAGTAGAGATCAAGCACCTTTCAGGAGGACGTTCACATACTGATGAGGTGACTGGGTGCAGCCACTAGGTATCTATCTATCTTTATTTGCAGAAGGAGAGTTCTTGGGATATATGGATAGTGCGGTGGCCGAGAGCATAAGGTAAAACGCATATGAAGGGATTGACCTGTGGGCCTACGGGGCCAGTCACTTAAGGAGTCAGTCTTTAACTCCCATAATGCACTTTGAATATCATGCATGCATTCATAGATAACCCATTTAATTCAGCCTATTTGAACTCTTACCTCTACAGAGAATAGTCGTACTGAGATTATAACTATAGAGAGTAAAGGACCTTCCGCAAGGACGATACCTATTATGATAACTAAAACAGTTACGTTTTAATAACTCTGAGAATAGCGAAGTGTTCACATAAGGTGTTTATTTTGCGAAAATAACTGGCTGTGCATTTTCCTGATTATTATATGGTTACTTGACAATTAATACAATATTGAATACACGATGGGCGCTTTCGAAACACTGCTTCTTGAAGCTTCAAAACCTTTGCGAATAATTTGTTTCTTACCAGTGATTTGGAGTGTTTATCAAATTGCCACGTGATTTCAGTATACACAATTTCAAAGATTTTTTACCTGTTCCCAGATAAAAAAATGTGTATAATATTTGAAAAATATCTCTTTTATGCATGTCTGTCCCAAGTTTTCGTTGCTTATACACCATTCTGACCAGCAGACGGCACCAGCGTGTGGTGTTTCGAGCGCTTCGAAAAAATGAATCATTTTGCGAAGAAATTGGTTCAATTGATTCAAAGGTTCGAAAAGCTTCTTTCTCCCATAACTACATTCATACCTGTAGCCTATATTATCTTAAAGCTAAGAAAAAAACGGATTTAAGAGTGCATTTAAGAAAAATCATTATAGCAATAAGACTGAATTGCACTGATATAACAGTGAGTAGGGATGTAACGGTATGAAAATTTCTTATCACGATTATAATGACCAAAATGATCACGGTTATCAGTATTATCATGGTATTGTTCAAATGTGCTGGAAATGTTCAATAAGTACTGACACAAATCATTTCACCAAGTTTTACATTTAAAATCAACAAACAACAAATAAAATGACTTTTTGTTTGCATAACTAAGACAATAACATTGCCAATGATGTCCGGATTTTAAATGACAACATGACTGACAACAGTTTATCTAATAGCATGTTCAAATATCTAATGTAAATGTTCAAATAAAGCTTTCATAAGCAAGTTTCATAAATGGTAAACCTTACATTTCTGCTTTTAAATAAAGAAAAGGGTCAAGTCAAAATGATAATTGATTAATAAATGATTATATGTATCATATCTGCTCTATAAATAATACATACCTTATTGTTTAAATGTGTAAAATCTACATAAGCTTGTTTTTCATCAACCGGTCAAAATTTACAGCACAATGACAAACTAGCTTACAAAACGTTTATTAACAAAAATGAATAAGACGAGGCATGGCATAGGCCTACACCACATACTGTATTATATACCGACTAATAAATTACAGAATGTTTAGCAAACACTGAGGAATCCAATAAATAAAAAAGAGAGCCTCCATAGCATAACGTGAGGTAAACAGCAAAGATAACAAGCTTTTCAAAATGAAAACAAAAAGAAAAGTAAAACTAAACTTGCTGTCGGTGACAGTGCTTGCATGTTTTTTCCCCCCACAAGAATACCAACATGTTCACCTTTGGTTTAAGAAGCGGTCTTTTACTTAACTTTAGCATGAAAACCATCCATCGTGTCCTCAATATTCACGTAATTTTTGCTGCATGCAGCTTCGCGCTCGTGCTGACGCTGCGAGTATAAACCAGGCGCTACACTCTATAGCGCTGCGCAGCTCAAACGAGTAGCGTATATTTCGTTATGCTTTCAGTTTCGTTTGCCGTTTGATGTTTCTCATATGCAACAGAAATGCAGCGCTTATGAGTTAAACAATGCGGTGGTCGCGCCAGTGCGACCGCACACAAAATTTATTCGCACCGGCAGAAAAAATGATCGCAAAATGCGCCCATTTGGTCGCACTCTGGAGCCCTGTGCTGGACAGTATCTTATCCTTTAGTTTACTTATCCTCAGTTGTTCAAATCGCGGTAATCGAATACGGTTATAGTGATAATTAAAATATGAAACGATAATACTAACCGTGGGGTATTTTATCACGATTTATCGTCAAACCGGTAATCGTTACATCCCTAACAGTGAGTAAAGGGCCTATAATTACAACGTTCTGATAATCCTTACGGCGAAGTGAACATATCTTTGAAACTTCTTTCAGATTTATTTAATTTTTTTATTATTAATTAATTAATTCATTCATTCATTCATTCATTCTATTTATTTATTTATTTGGATGAACGATTAAGACAGCCAATCAAAATCCACCTGGATTTACATAACTGCAGCGTACGTTGTCGTCCTTTTTTGACGTTTGTATGAAACGAGAGGACGCACTGTGATTCATGAAAAGTATGATCATTAGGAAAAGTATTAGGAAACACCTGGCCACAGGATACCAAGATTGGCCAATCAGAATCAAGTTTTCTAGAAAGTGCCATGGTTCAAGAGCAGCAATAGATCTTACTCAACCAATGTGTCTAAAGAAGCAGATGATGGTTCTGCGAGCCTCTTCATCCTCTTCCTCACTGCATCTGACTCCTGCACCGGCAAAATGGTCATCGATCACTATGAAAGCCCAAACCGAGCAATGTGGAACTCTATAGAACTGAAGTGACCGAAATATTCCAGCTTTTTCATATTTATTAAGACTCAGACATGATGATAGATGAGCAGAATATCTGACACAAACCGCATACTTTTAACAAAACCAGAATATTGATGTCTGTAGCAAAATAGCACGCTTGTCTGAACTGACTGGATTCATATAACTGAGAATATTACACATATTACGTGGCGAGATCAGAATCAGGAAAACACAAACTTATGCGTTTTCATTCTGCTCATTAAACTGGAAGGAAAAGAGCTTGATCATTTGAGCATTTCACATTACAGCACATATTTAACACATTTCAGGCCTCAGAATCTACATTCCCTGAGAGTACAGAAAAAATCTAATCTCAGTTGGAAAACCATTCCAGTTTTATTTACCTATTTGAAGGAATTTTCCTCCTGACATGTTTAATATGGTCCACCCTAGTTATGGTGTTAGTGATGAGGCCAGAAAGGAAACATCTCTTTCTCTCTCAAGATGGGCTACGTGATACACTTGATAACTAAAAATACTTGTGCTTATTTTAAATGCCTTTCATTGATTTATCTGGGATAAATTGGGGAAATACTGCTATTTTAAATCGCAATCAATAGTATAATCCAAACACTGACCTGAAGGATCTTTTCCCCTGGACAGTTTCCATTGATTGTGTTTGTAACTAATACCTCATTAACTACACCTGGCATTCACTAGTGGGAGAGCGCCCTCTAGTGGCTGCAAATGCAACAAACATATGGCATACAAGCAAAACGCATAAATATTCTCATGCTTTTACATTTGTCGTGTTGGATGGCTAAAATAATAATAATAATAATTATTATTATTATTATTATTATTATTATCATCATCATTATTATTATTATTATTATTATTATTATTATATTTATGTATTTATGACAAATGTTGATATGATATAGAATTTCCATTCATTTAAAAAAAATCCATTAATTAAAAAAAATTGGTTATGTCTTATATATATATATATATATAAAAGGAACAGCAATGCATTTCCTCATGTTTATAAAAAATTGTATATCTTTATTTTATATTTTGTATTATTTTTTAGGGGAACACTGTAACAGTCTATCAATGGATCACAGATTAAAAATAGCCTTTGTTGTGCATTTACAGTAATGTGTAATGTGCACTGTCCATGTTAAACAAATCATAATAAATATTATAAATAGTAAATATAATTATTAATATTTTTAATATAAGATATTATAATATGGACATCAATAAACAGCACGTTAGCAATTAAAACTTTAATATGCCAGCACAGTTTTACCAAACAGTAGATTAAAATATCAAACAATTAGTGTCTCTCCATACATTTCTATTTTAAATTCATAGATATAAAATCACTATAAAATGTTGCTCTTTAACATAGTCACTGTAAAAACTGTGGGATTTCAAACATTCACATGCTGAACGGTTTTTGCTACACCGCTTGGTACAAAAAAATCTAACCAATCACACAACCCATTCTGCAGGGGTGCTGGGCCACCCGGGACCGGTTTAGACCCAGCGTGAGTCTGAACCTTGTCCACCAGGACTTAAATATCAGGCTTTCTCCGCTCAAACTAATCCCTTGATTAGGACTGGCTTCAAACCTAGTCCAGACTAAATAGTGTTATTCCATCACAAAAATAAGACCAGTTTTTAGCATTAGATTTAAAAAAAAAAAAAGATAAAATAATTCAGCTTTCTGTAAATGGTCCAGACAGTAACTTCACTGGTTACAAGATGGATGTGATTCAGCACGAAGCGTCTTCAAATTAGCATTTCATCATTCAAACATTGTCTAGTCTCACAACATCTAAAATAACAGAATACAAAAAATGACGATACATAACCGAGTGTGAAATGAGCACATAATGGACTTTGAATAAAGCGTATGCAGATATAGAAGCGGTTTTCTTGATTAATATGTCATGAAAAGGCATTGTCGGTGAGTCCCGTCTCTTTCCCAGGACGATCAGTAGAGTCTTTGCATAGAGGAGAGGGTCTAAAGACAGTCTTTAAGGCACGGTGACGTGGAAAGGGCTTCCGGGCACCATTTCTTCGCCCCATTTGACTATCAGGATGTAGTCGCCTTTCTCCTTCACTGTGTATGTGACATTGTACATTCTGTTGCCCATGTGTTTGACGTACACTTCCTCACAGGGAGTCTTTGGCCCGTGCACTCCTACCATTAACATGTTTGTCCCTGACGAAACAAAATAAAAGCCGTTTAGTCATCTGCATGAGAGCATTATGGGTAATATGCACAAACATGTCTTGTCCAGAAAGCTGTACCTGCTTTACTGCAGTCCACTGTGAAGGTGTTCTTCTGGCCAGTGAAGGCTTTGGAGAGTCCGGCCCCCCTGGAGATCACCTTACTGGCATCAGACGAGAACTTTGGCAGAGTAGAGAAAGATCCGGCCACTGAGGACGATTTCATGACCGTTTCCACCAGAACCGATGACGTTTCGTGTAGAGAGTGTCCTCCGGAGAGACGTGCACCTGGAAGAGAGGATTTCCTCTTATCATTCTGCTTCTCTATGAAAGATGAGTTGAGGTGGAAAGATGTCCGCTGTCATTTTTTCCCCTCCAATCATTAGTCTCAATCTCAAGTCGCACATTTTCATAGTTGTCATAAGCTTGTGTGGTTTCAAATCCACTCCATCACGTTGTATGACAATCTGCCTGATCATATCATCTCAGAACCAGATTTTCCTATTTCAACATGAGCGCAAGAAAGCTTTTTAATAATAGTTATTTACACATTTATGTATTTGTCCAGCTTTTTTATAAAGAACAACAAAGCAGTTTTTGTTTATAACCACGTTCATATTTTTTAAATATTTTTTTTATATTTTTATACTAATAATATTTAGATTTTATATTTTGTGTTTGGGTGGACTACAGATGAAAAATACTCTTTGGCCAACTGTGCCGTATTTACAGTAATGTTTATTAATGTGTGTAATAAAAATATATATAATATAATACAGACATAAGGACATCAATAAACAGCGCATTAGCAATTAAAACGTTAATAGGTGTAGATTTCAAGGTGCTATAAAGCAGCGTTTATTATTCAATATTTTCATGTTGATAGCCATTTTAATATTTTCGATTTTGAATTATATTTTTATATAAATAATATTAAAATTTTAGTTTTTAGGGTGGAATAATATAATATAATATAATATAATATAATATCAAACATTTACATGCTGAACTGTTTTTGTTACACCACTTCAGGTGTAGATTTCAAGATGCTGTAGGTGGCCTTTTTTATATCTAATATTTAAGGGACAACAATGTAGTTTTTCATGTTTATAACCATTTTATCATCAAATTAGTTTTTTTAATTTATATTATATTTTAATATTAATAATATTGTGATTTTATGTTTTGTTTTTTGGGTGGAATACAGATAAAAAAATACCCTTTGGCTAACTGTGGCACATCTACAGTAATGTTTTTTTAATGTGCACAGTCCTTGTTAAATTAATAATAAAAATAACAATAATATAATAGGGTGGACTACAGATAAAATGCCCTTTGGCTAACTGTGTGTAAGCCATCTCGGTGTCTGTCCAAGCATACGTAAAGAGCAAAAAAGCCTAGTTTAATGTACTGTAGTGTGTGATGGCTCACCAGAGACTTTGGCTTTGAAGGGGCTGCCCACGATATGCTGCGGTCCTCCATATTTGATGGAGATGAGGTAGCTGCCGGGAGCCATGGGTGTGTAGGTGACCTTGTATCCTTCTGGACACTCCTGACAATCCATCTTCACCTTCGATGGGCCGTCGATGGTGACCGACAGAGCTCCTGAGCCAGCGTTACACGTGTTTACAATGAAATCTGACGCTACACCTGTGACGGATGAGATGAAGCCAGTGAGTTTCTTTGTGTTTGTGTCTTAACACTCGTGATTGGCTGTTCATTGGTGTTGTACTGTACCTGTAGTTCCCCCCTCCAGTGCGGGCCCAAAAGCCGTCACCATTCCTGGATCTCCTGCCTGGCCGGGTTCTCCTACACGGATCTTGAAGGGACTGCCTGGGATGTGACTCCCGTTAAAACGGACATCGATGGAGTGGACGCCATTCTCCCGTGGAATAAACCGTATGGCGTGTTTATCTGCACAAAAACAGGCACGCAGTGTTCAAATGCACCCTCTATCTAACTAATATCAGTTGTACTGTGTCTTTAAATTTTACAGCGATCATATAGTAGATTTGGGATCTTAGATAAATAATAATACATAACCTAAAATAATATGATAAAAAAAAATGTAATCAAAATAATATATAAAAAAACTGAAGAAAAAATATACAGTGGGTACGGAAAGTATTCAGACCCCCTTCAATTTTTCACTCTGTTATATTGCAGCCATTTGCTAAAATCATTTAAGTTAATTTTTTTTCCTCATTAATGTACACACAGCACCCCATATTGACAGAAAAACACAGAATCGTTGACATTTTTGCAGATTTATTAAAAAAGAAAAACTGAAATATCACATGGTCCTAAGTATTCAGACCCTTTGCTCAGTATTTAGTAGAAGCACCCTTTTGATCTAATACAGCCAACTCTTTGGCCAACTGTGCCGTATTTACAGTAATGTTTATTAATGTGTGTAATAAAAATATATATAATATAATACAGACATAAGGACATCAATAAACAGCGCATTAGCAATTAAAACGTTAATAGGTGTAGATTTCAAGGTGCTATAAAGCAGCGTTTATTATTCAATATTTTCATGTTGATAGCCATTTTAATATTTTCGATTTTGAATTATATTTTTATATAAATAATATTAAAATTTTAGTTTTTAGGGTGGAATAATATAATATAATATAATATAATATAATATCAAACATTTACATGCTGAACTGTTTTTGTTACACCACTTCAGGTGTAGATTTCAAGATGCTGTAGGTGGCCTTTTTTATATCTAATATTTAAGGGACAACAATGTAGTTTTTCATGTTTATAACCATTTTATCATCAAATTAGTTTTTTTAATTTATATTATATTTTAATATTAATAATATTGTGATTTTATGTTTTGTTTTTTGGGTGGAATACAGATAAAAAAATACCCTTTGGCTAACTGTGGCACATCTACAGTAATGTTTTTTTAATGTGCACAGTCCTTGTTAAATTAATAATAAAAATAACAATAATATAATAGGGTGGACTACAGATAAAATGCCCTTTGGCTAACTGTGTGTAAGCCATCTCGGTGTCTGTCCAAGCATACGTAAAGAGCAAAAAAGCCTAGTTTAATGTACTGTAGTGTGTGATGGCTCACCAGAGACTTTGGCTTTGAAGGGGCTGCCCACGATATGCTGCGGTCCTCCATATTTGATGGAGATGAGGTAGCTGCCGGGAGCCATGGGTGTGTAGGTGACCTTGTATCCTTCTGGACACTCCTGACAATCCATCTTCACCTTCGATGGGCCGTCGATGGTGACCGACAGAGCTCCTGAGCCAGCGTTACACGTGTTTACAATGAAATCTGACGCTACACCTGTGACGGATGAGATGAAGCCAGTGAGTTTCTTTGTGTTTGTGTCTTAACACTCGTGATTGGCTGTTCATTGGTGTTGTACTGTACCTGTAGTTCCCCCCTCCAGTGCGGGCCCAAAAGCCGTCACCATTCCTGGATCTCCTGCCTGGCCGGGTTCTCCTACACGGATCTTGAAGGGACTGCCTGGGATGTGACTCCCGTTAAAACGGACATCGATGGAGTGGACGCCATTCTCCCGTGGAATAAACCGTATGGCGTGTTTATCTGCACAAAAACAGGCACGCAGTGTTCAAATGCACCCTCTATCTAACTAATATCAGTTGTACTGTGTCTTTAAATTTTACAGCGATCATATAGTAGATTTGGGATCTTAGATAAATAATAATACATAACCTAAAATAATATGATAAAAAAAAATGTAATCAAAATAATATATAAAAAAACTGAAGAAAAAATATACAGTGGGTACGGAAAGTATTCAGACCCCCTTCAATTTTTCACTCTGTTATATTGCAGCCATTTGCTAAAATCATTTAAGTTAATTTTTTTTCCTCATTAAATTAAAGTAATGTATTGCATAATGAATAATTTATAAAACATAAAAATGAATGTTGTATAAATATAAATATATTTAGAGAAAACATAAATAAAAATATACAAAATTATGAAAATAGAATAAAAATTGTAATACAAAAATATACTAAATAATACACACACACATGATTTTTATTATATTTGAAAAATACACTATATAAATAATGTAAAAAAAATTAACATGAACAAAATAGTATAATAAAAATGTTTAATAAAACTATATATGAATATTAATAATAATACATATAAATCATACAATTTATTACAGACAAATAATTCCCCAGACTTTTTATATTCATGAGTATTGGACCATATGCTCACCATTGTCTAGCTCAGTGATGTAACACTCCTCCACTGCTCCAGATGGTGTGTGAACCTTAGCATCAATCGCCCCTCTCGCTCCGTTCAGCTGCACGGCAAACGAGGCTTCTTGATTCACCTTCAGACCCATCTCCTGCACAGACAGACACAGCCACACAGACTTAGAGAATCTGAACAGTTTTGGAATATCATCTAATCTTCAGAAGTTTAAAACTGAATATGTAAAGATGTGCCTTTCTCATTAAGTATATTCACAATGGCCAACATAAAAATGCTCTGCTACTCCGTCATGCTCATTTGTCTTTCTTGAGAAACTCCTTCTTCACTCTTCGTGAAGGGAACTGCAAGTACACTTGTCTCGTCTCATGATAAGCTGTCCTGTGCTCTCCATCAAGTGCTCTCACAGAGAGTGTGTCCCGCTGCTACAGAGAAGAACGATCCCTCTCCACACGACTCGTGCGTGAGTGTGTTTGATCTGGAATCACTCACCTGCAGGCTGGTGATGGTAAGCAGGCGGGCATCATCTGACACTGATGCAATAGGAACTATGAAAGGGCTGTCTGGGATATGCTCGTCGTTAAATTTGATTGACACCTCATAGTCACCTGAAATCAAATAAATGAGGAAAAAAAGACTGAGTGTAATTGAAAATTACTTAAGGGAAAATTTCAACACTAAAGCAAATACTAGGTTGTAGTACCAGGTTCCTGCACTACATAGGCCACCCCACAGGAACCATCCTTCCTGTCCTCAAAGGAAATTTCTGCTTTGCTGGGCCCCTCAACAGCTATGGACAAACCGCCAGCGCCAGCCTCACGGGTCCAGATACTGAACTCAGCTAAAAAAATCACACAAAAATAATGTTTTAATGTTCACAATATACCAGAAAAAATAAAGAGTACCTGACTTCCTGTCAGTCTTATTTCACTATTTTTTGTATACTATTACAGTATTTATTAGTAGCCTATTTTAAATTAGTTTTTATATTCTCATTTTCATTTTTTTTTTTAGATTTTTATTTAGCTTTATTTTTTATTTCAGTTGTAGTTTCTAGTGGTTTAATTTCAGTAGTTCATCCTATTTTCATTACAGTTAGCAGCCAAGCATGGTTATAACACATAACTAAAATTAAAACCATAAAAAACACTTTTTTTGTTAAATAAATTAAGTTCAATTTGTTTTCATTTTCTTTAAATAAAATACAAGTTAACTGAAATAAACTACAATTTAAACTTATTTTAGTTCAATTAATTGGCAAGGCAAAATTTCACATTTTCATTTAGTTTAACATTTATTATTGAAATACCCAAAACTGAAATAAAAATGCTTAAAAAATTGTAAAAATGCCAAAAAACACAACAAAATGTAAAAATAAAAACTATTTCAAAATATTAAAACCTATAATAGTATCTCGATATTACAATAACAACATTGCCAATTTTTTTACATTTTAAATACATTTTTTTTCCATCAACTATTTTCGTAAACAACAACACAGCTTCTTGTCTCTTACCTGGAACTCCAGCCACACCTCTGTCCAGTCCAGTACCACCAGCCCGAACCTTATGGGCCCCTCCCTCTCCCAGGGGCCCCACAGTGAACTGGAAGGGGCTTCCGGGGACATGCTGTCCCCTGTATTTTACATTGACAGTGTGGGGGCCCATCTCCTGAGGCACAAAACGCACACTATAGGTGCTGTCCTCTCCCTCTATGATCTCAGCGTCCTCTGTGTTGCCACTGGGACTCGTCACCTGTGCGGTCATTTCCTGCGTACCTGATTCACCTGAGAGAGAGGATGAGAAAGAGGGAAGGGAAAAGAGGAAGGGCACACGAATGAGACATTTCACATAAAATTTCAGGCATTTCTTCTATAAAAGAGGGTGTTTTGGCTGGGCTGCCCACAGAGTTGAATGCTGCTCAGATTTTCCAGCTCAGCTCTCCTGTCATAAATGTCTGCAGTGGAAAGTGTGCGCTCATTCCTGCCGAAAACCCCATAAACACACACATACCATGACATCACACGCACATTCACAGTAACACGAAAAGAAACTTGTAATAGCTGCAAAACTTAAAGGTGCAGTAGGAGATCTTGGAAAATGCTAACTTTAGCCTGATAGCACTGAAAGCGAACGTCCCACCCTCCCTGCAATCGCCGGCCAAAGCCACGCCCCCTGAACGCATATACGCTCACAGACCAGAATACTATATACTAAGAATACTAAGAAAGTCATGTACACCTAAGAAGCCTTGAAAGTAAGTAAAACATGGGCTAATTTTTGGGTGAACCAACCCTTTAACCAGTGATCAACACACACAAACACACACCCTCTGATTGTCGGCCCTGGGCGCTGCTGAAGGGTCCCCGGCTCTCCCTGCCCCGGAATCCACCGAAAACATCCCTAAAGGGGTTGCCCCCCACCTGGGTGCTCTCTTCTACCCGCACTTCCCGTTTGGTCTCGCCCGCGCGGGTCTTGCTGATCTCGGTGCGTTCGGTTCGTGTGTAGGTGTGGCTGCTGCGGGTGAAGGTACGCGTGAGCCGCTCTTGGGCCGACACCATCTGAAACCAGTTCCCTACAGATGTGGAACCCGAAAGACAGAGAAAGAAGGAAAGAGAAGAAGGAAGAAGAAAAGAAGCGATGAAAAAAGAGAAACAGGAAATGCATGCTTCTGAGCAGAATGGAAACAAATTCTGTATTCTTTATTTAAATCAAAATAACTTAAATTGTATAGTTTCATACAGAACCACTCTGATTGAGGAGACAGGAAGTGACACGTGTGACAGTGGGAAACAGGTGGAAAAAGAGACGAGCTCTATGTCTGTATATGCCTATAGTAGTAGTAGGTGAAAAATAGTATGAGATGAGTAGTATATGTCAACAATAGGCGAAAAGTACCCTACTTCTGGCGAGATTCTGAAGTGCACATAAAAATTATCCCATGAGGCCACGGGAGAGTAGTTGTGAATGCCAGTGAAGTGACGCAACTGATGCTGGTAGGTCATTTGACAGTGACAACATGGTGAGTGTAATACAAATGAACTTCATTTATGCTACTCATATTTATATTGCATCAAACGTACTTTTTAACGCTCGTTAAGTAAGTTTCAAACCAAATGCAGTATCTACTAGACCAGGGGTTTTTAACCTGTGGGGCACCTGTCAAGGGGGGCGCAAGCATCAGTTAATTCAGAGACATTCCCTTGAGGATTTATGAATATTCACGTGTATTGACAGTGTAAGATGATTTATAGTTAGCCGTGTCGTAAATCCAAACACGAATTGGCATGTTGTTATCTCAGAAACAGGCTCAGCCATCACATTAAATCAGGTAAACTGGTTATATATTAATGTTTCAGTATAATTATGCACGCTATACCAGGGGCGGTTCTAAACCCTTTTTAGGAAGTGCTGCCCACCGTGGCAATAGAGGGCGCCTGCCTCTTTCTGGTGATGCTCTCCTTCATTCTTCCCTCGCCCAGAACCTTCACTGTAAATGGACTTCCTGTGGAACAACATGAAGTGTTTAAAAGAGTCACCCACCTCAGAAGCAAAGTCTTAAAGAGACTTCAGTTTGAGGGTTATGCTGTACCTGGCACATGTTGGTCGGCAAATTTGATGTTGATGATGTAAGTTCCGGGTTCGGTTGGGCAGTAGGTCACTCTGCAGGTTCCATCTTCCACATCCGAACAGTTAATGTCAACTTTACTGGGCCCCTCGATGGACAGACCAAGACCTCCATAACCTATAACATATTGACCAGAACCAATGGCTTTTATGATTAAATACAGTTTGCAAAAGAAGCACGACTGTTTAGTGAATCCAACCTTCATAAATCCCAGTTTGTACACACATGCTAGTTTATGCATTCAGTGCGCATGACATAAATTTTACACATCCAGTCAGATAACGCTAAACGTTTGTGTCAAAAGTGAAGTGTACTTCAGGCTTAAGGTGCAGTAATATTTACTGTTGCTCTGTGAAATTTCCATTCATTTCAATAGGAAACTGTGTGATTGAGAGTTTTGCACAAGGGCAATAGTCATACGAATTTGCCGTACTGACCAACAGAAAGTTGCTTGGTAAAATGTCGAAATTTTGCCTCCAAAAAAAAAAATGTTTTTATTTTCCATCGTAGTGTAGTATGTCTGTACCTTAAGTGCATTATGGAAGCCACAAATATCCTAGAATACCATTTACCTGCACTTCTGGTGTCCACAATGAACTCAGCCACTTCAAAGGTGTGTCCTTCAATCAGTCCTTTGCCAAACACCTTCACCTTACTGGCATCTCCGATCTCAGACTGCCCCACCATGATCTTGAATGGGCTGTTGGTCACGTGTTTTCCATTCTTCTTCACGCTGACCACATGCTCACCCACCTCTTTAGGAGTGAAAGATATTCCTGAATGCAAAGAGCAATGGGAATGAGTTCTTTGTTCAGGTTTATCGAGTATTTTATGGTAGCACCGTCATATCCAACAAAAAAGATAGTCCTCAGGGTTTGGCTTTACATCAAAAGCCTTTTCTGAGCTGATAGTTGATTCTCTTTGAAATCGCAGGAAGGAGCTCTTAGTCTCAAATCGGGTTTTTTGAGGCAAACACTACAGGCGTCACCTCATCAGAAAGTTTCAGAGTTTGATTGCTGACATCTTGTTATGAAAAACCTCATAGGTTTATCTAGTTTCTAAAAGTGTTATCATTACATTTGCAGTGACACAATCTTCTGGGAAAATGTACCTAAATATTGGTGACTCCTCTTGTTTGCAGGGGTGTATACAAACTTCAATAAGTCCTACCTGAACTTCCTGATGGAAATTCAAAATTTGGGGTCTTTAAAATCCCTTAGTAACTGAATCTATTCACAAATAATATGATCTGGCTTATTAATATTCTGCTTTATCAGTTCAGTCGTGACGCATGTAGGTGCTGGCAGGCTTGACGTGTGACTTACCGATGTGTCGGTTTGGCAGTCTCTTCAGCAGGCAGGGCTCCTCATTGCCAGATGGGGCTCTGATGCTCGCGGTCAGGGAGCTCAGGTCCGTCTCTGTGATCTTCAGTGACACGTCTGTGGCTGTGCCAACGTTCAGCTGAGACGTCCTCATGGAGTCATCACCTTCATCAAGAATGAGATAGAAAATAATTAAAAATAACAATTTATGTTATGTTATGTTAAGCTGAATTTTCAGCATCATTACTCTAGTCTTCAGTGTGACATGGTTCTACAGAAATCATTCTAATATGCTGATTTATAATCAATGTTAGAATCAGATGTGCTGCTTAATATTTTTTGAGACCTGTGATACTTTTTTCAGGATTCTTTGATAAATAAAATTTGAAAATATACATTTTCGAATGTTTATTCGAAATATAAATTTTGTATTACATAATATAAACTACTATTCAAAATATTTTTTCCTTTTTTTTTAAAGAAATTAATACTTTTATTCAGCAAGGATGTGTTAAATTTATTTTTATTTTTTTTAAGTGATAGTAAAGACTTATATTGTTAGAAAAGATTCTATTTTGAATAAATGCTGTTCTTTTTAACTTTTTATTCATCAAAGAATCAAAGAAAAAATTATCACAGATTCCAAAAAAATAATAAGCAGCACAACAGTTTCAACACTGATAATAAATCAGCATATTAGAATGATTTCTGAAGGATCATGTGACAGTGAAGACTGGAGTAATGGCTGATGAAAATTCAGCGCTGCATCACAGAAATAAATTATATTTTAAAGTATATTAATCTAGGAAACCAATATTAGAAATTGCAATAATATTTCACAATATTACTGTTATTTTTGATTAATAACATTTTTGACCCCAAACTTTTTAAAGGCAGTGTACATAAAACACATATTATCCAGTTACTAAAAATAAATCACATATAATCCAGTTAATAAAAATAAACATTTACTGTGCGGGTGCAACGCCAGTTCCGTTGTGGAGAGCAGTGTTGAGGGGCAAAGTGAGAGTGAGACTGAAGGAGGGGGGAAACAGCTGCTTCCTGTTTCTAAAAACTCCCAGGAAGTGGCTCCTACTTTTAGAAGCACTTCACATGTGGTTAAATTCTCCAGGTGTGAAGGCACGCGCACACACATAAACACACACGGCAGCTAATTTAGTGCTTCACAGACGTTATGGAGAGACATAACTTTGCCCTCTCTTGTTCATCCTCTCTCTTTCTCTCTCTCTCTCTCTCTCTCTCTCTCTCATACCCATATTTGGGCACATAAAACCCCCTACCTGTGATCTTGGCTGTAAAGGGGCTTCCAGCGATGTGCTTGTCATCAAACTTGACGATTATATTATAGCCTCCTGGGGCCATTGGCAGGTAGGACACAGTGCAGGTGCCATCTTTATTATCCTTACAGCTGATCTCTGCTTTAGAAGGGCCTTCCACTGCCAAAGACAGACCACCTGAGAGAAGATGAGAGAGCAATGTGGGAAGTCAGAAGTCTGGCAATGTGAGACTAATGCAATGTGACTGTGAGGCTGCCAGGTTTGGTGTGTGTGTATTACCTTCTCCAGCATCCTTAGTGACGATTGTGAAGGTGGTGGGTTTGTTGACCATGCCGTGACTCAGACCAGGGCCGTATGCATTCACATGCCCGCTGTTAATGGCATCCACATAGAACTGCAGCGGACTTCCTGTAAGCGAGAATTTTGAAAGAGTGTGACTTCATGTTTAAAGATGAACACAGAAATTATTTAACAGACCAATTATAGCATAATTATTACATTTACAGATTTTAGAGCAGCAAACCTCTAATTGTTTTGATACCTGGTATGTGGTTCCCGTCATATTTGATGTCCATCTCATGTAGGCCCTTCTCATTGGGGCTGTATTTGACCGTCACAGTCCCGTCCTTGTTATCAGTGATGTGGGGACAGGCGGTTTTACCAGAGGGCATACGTACATCACCTTAAAAAAAAAAAAATGCCATCTTTGCAAATACTGAATTCCACAGGCCTTTTTGAAAAGATGCATGCTTCCTTGCACCTCTGATAATTATTTATTTTTTAATAAGTGTTAATACCTGTAATCTCCCCCTTTTGCACAGTAAATGGAATGACCAGATTGAACGGGCGGAGCATTGGCTCCATGGCATCCACTGCAGTGACTGGTTCCTCCGTGGCCTTAAAGAGAAAGCAATTTTAGCATCACTGCACTGCTAACTAAATACAGTGAGAAGATATAAGTGCGTGCAAAGGGTTAATGGCAGGAAAACGAAAAACAGACAATGGCACAGGCTGGTTGGGCAGCAGTAGATGAAATAAATTCATAAAAGCAGCAGCTACAAAGAACCTTGTGCAAAACAACGGCTCTGCAATAGGAGATCAACAACCTATTCATTAACTCTACGAATGCATGATCAGCCAACTAGCCGTTTAATAACTTGTTAAAAAGACATCAGCAGTACAGCTCATGGGAAATTAAGCAAAGATGGATGAAATGAAAAGGTGTAATGATAAAGGCTGAGGAGCAGAGAGCGTTTAGGACGTTATCTGATGACTAGGGGTGGTGTGTACCCAGTGAGGGGTGTAGCCCTGGTAGGGGGCGTAGGGCTGCTGTAACTGTAGTTTATCACATGGTTCCTCGATTATAGGGATGGTATCAGATGCCTGGAGAAGGAGGTGGTCACATGTTTAGGGCTTCACACGACACACATTTACATGCAGCTAATTCAATTCGACCCACTGAACTGGAATTGAATTGCTAAATTAAACATAATCTCAATGAATGAGGCACAAAAATGTTTTTATTTGGGAGAATAATTATTTTGTAAAAACACACCATGCACTGGTAGCCATATTTTGAATTTGTTTATGATCATTTGCATAAAACAAATACAAATATAACATATACACTACTGTTCAGAAGTCTGGGGTCAGTACATTTTTTAAAGAAATTTATATTTTGGATGCTTCAAATTGATCAATAGTAACAATAAAGACTTTTACATTGTTACAAAAATGTTTTATGTAAAATAAATGCTGTAATTTTGAATGTTTATTCATGAGGAGTCCTAGAAGAAAATCTTGTTTTCTACAGAAAACATTAGACAGTACAACTGTTTTCAACATTGATAATAATAAGAAATATTTCTTGAGAATCAAATCAGCATATTAGAATGATTTCTGAAGGATCATGTGACACTGAAGATGCTGAAAATTCAGCTTTGCATCACAGGAATAAATTATATTTTAAAATATATTAAAAATAGAAAACAGATATTTTAAATTGTAATAATATTTCACAATATTACTGTTTTACTGTATTTTTGTATTTAAATAAATGCAGACTTGGTGAGCATAAGAGGCTTCTTTCAAAAAGAAGGTGCTCACCACCACATGGAAGGGGCTGTTGGGAATGTGCTCTCCTCCAAAGCGAATGGTTATGACATATTTCCCAGGCTCTGGAGCAGTATAATAAATATCAAATGTCCCGTCCGCATTCTCCACCACATCCACGTCTAGCTCCGCCCCATCTGGAGTTGACACTTTGCAGGTGACCTTCCCCTTCCCAGCAGCCTTTGCATCCACAGTGATAACGGTCTCCTCGCCGATTTGAATAGTGGGTCCGAGCCCAGAGCCTGTCCATGACACAGCAATCACAATAAAGCTATTTTACTACACCATTCAGAGAGTTATTGTGTGAATTCATGTGCACTGGGTCACTTTTTGACATTCACCATAATGACAAAAAAAGGTCTAAACTGATCCTACATAAAAAGACTTGCAAAGTTCAATATAGGTAACTGATGATGTTTTCAAAAAACTCACCTAATCCGTGTCCCCCAATTGACACTACAAATCAACAAAAAGAGCTGTTACAATTCATGATCATAAAAGTGTGCATAAGATGCTGTTTCAAAAAAGAAACTAGACTGCTAAGATAACATTTTAATCAAGCAATATGTCACATACAACTGACCTGTCACAAGGCATTTGCTGGCATCTCCACTAGGCAGCGCATGTATGCGGTAGGGTGAGTATGGGATCTCATCTCCACCATATTTGATTGTAATAGTGTAGCGTCCTGTCATATCTGGGACGTAGGACACGGTGTATGTTCCATCTCTGTTATCTCGAATGTTGGCTTTCTTTGGTTTTCCTTCTGGGTCCTGCAAAATGAATGAGTTGTTAAACTGTGTTCATGGGAATGAGTGTGTATGTGTGTCTATTAGGGATGTCAACGATTAATCGATGATCGATTAATTGTCGATAAGAGATGCAATCGATTAAGCAGTTTAATTTTGGTGATTGTGAATCGCCAACAGCTCCAGATATTTAGCATGCCAACGATTTTGAGGGCGTCGGCGACGTGTCGGCGATTCCCTCAGATCGCATGTTTGATAATTCACACTGCGTGATTGTCACTCGCGTGACCGAGCACCGATTTGCCTTCGATTTCGGGCATTTGTCGGCGATTTCGCAAAACCTGTCGGCGAGTAAAAAAATCAGGCTAAAATCGTGCAGTGTGAACTCGGGATAAGAGATGCGAAAACAGTGATAAAAAGTCAATGACAATAAAATAAACCTGCGAAATTAGAGGGTTAGACGGTGAGGATTTAGGAAAAGAAACAATGCCTAAATATTATTGAATTTGTGGAAATTCGTGACCAAGAACAAAGTCGCATAAATGTAGGCTATATGGGCTCAAACGGCATCCAAAAGCATGGTTGCATGTAAGATTTTCCAGAGCTTATAATTTGTAAATAAATAATTGCTGGATTCAAAACAGCAATTAAAAGGCGCTGTGACCAACACTTGACAATACGTTTTCCCGGAGCATTCAATGATGTCACTAAACGGTGTTGCCACAACTAAGAGCATCATTCAACTAAGTTTCTGCATGGACCTAACTAGCCTAGGGCACAGGTTTTCAAGCCCTGGGACAAAATGGGATGCTTTAAGGAAAATGTATAGCCTATGTAGCAAAAGCACAAATCTTGCTTTTATTGTGTGTGCGCAAAAATAAAAGTAAACACTTTTGCGGATTATATCTTACTCCATAAATGGAGTTTTTTATGATTCAGTTGTTCGATCGCACCGGCGCCTCGCGTGCACACACCCCACATATTCTAGCAATTCAAACTTACATCGCAGTCTGTTCATTATCAAAATAAAATACAGTCAACCAAACATATAAAAGGTTACATTGGTCAGTTTAAATAGACCGTAGTATACCGGTCCACTCTGCTGTTATGCCAAGGACTTTTTTGCTCATGTGAAGACGATGATCTTTTCCGTCTATATGCGAATGCGTGTAAAGTACAAGCCTAGTTTACATTATAAATAATAGTTTAGCATTCAAATACATTGCGAATATGGAAACATTTGTGCCGAATGAGATGTGAGCAATAACCTCCAAATACATCTAGCCAAACCCGCGCTCGCTCCGTCACGTATGCACGCACGCATGCACCGTCACGATCTAATGCACTGTAAATGCCGGATTTTAAAAAACAAATAGGCCTACCAGAACGCAAAAAATCAAAATCTGACATTTTCCAAAACAGGATCCAGCAGGATCAAATTAAGTACTGGTCATAATACTCACATGATAATGTTTGACGTGTGCAACAGTGTGTTTTGCTGCAGCAGCGCCGATGGAAGCGGTTCACTGACTGCATCTATTCATTTTACAATCCTGCTAATAGCATTTTATTCAGACTAAAGCCTCTTTAATTCGGATGAGAAAGCGGGGGGTTTTTTTGAGTGGCTTTTGCACATCCTGTCATGCCGATGACTGCGTGCTGCTGCAATAGACGCATTTTGCTGCATTAAAGTTAACGATTAATCGATTAATTGATCGTTAATTTAAACGACGATCGATCATGGAAATGATCGAAAATTGACATCCCTAGTGTTTATATATTCGTAGGCTCTTTTGAGCCTGCATATAAAAATCTTATTTCTTATTTGAATAAGTTCTAACTGAACTTGCTGAAATAAATATAGATGATATTGAACAAGGCACTATTCCTAATACAGATTGCATACAGTAGCAGGCACGTCTGTTAGTCATGTAGTGGAAAACCACATGTAGGGTTTTAGCCTAAATCTAATTATAGGTCAGTCCACAGAGACCACTAGAGGGCAACATTAAGGGTATCAAGTCCCCTTGACCGGTACAAAATGATCAAGTATGGCTGCTTGGGAGAAAGGTTCACTCTTACGTTCAAAAACAGCACTTTTGTGCAAGACAAAGATGTTTCTGGATGCTTTTGCATGTGTGCAGTTTGGTTTTGGTTTGAGTGAAGTTTTCTCTCTTCCTTTTCAGAATGGAAAGTAGTATGATTATTAAAAAAAACAAGGATCACCCTCAAGAAACTACAATTCCCAAGTCACTTCAGGCACTTCAGTGTCAAAGGAATATGGTGTATATGAAACGAGGACAGACAGACAGACAGACAGACAGATAGATAGATAGATAGATAGATAGATAGATAGATAGATAGAACACAAAAAGGCATTATTAGGGAATGAATTCAGAAGTAGGGAATAACTAAGGCAAAACTAGGAAAAAATTAAGACAAAAAGCAGCCAAAGGAGCAGGGGAACTGGGGTAGGGAGTACAGTATCAAGGGGACAGTCCATGAGCGCTTAGGGGCCCAAGGCTAATGGGAGGGACGCCAGACATGGTGAGTTGTAACAACAAGAGGAGGCTGAAAGGAGGGGCCGTCTTACACATCCTTTCCTAAGAATATGGAAGGGGATGGTGCCCTTTACAATGTGGTTCTCCCACACCCTCCTACCCCAGTCCTCCACAAACACAGAGGCCTCCTGCCTGCACCCATCCAGACCCTACAGCGACAGCAGGGAAGGGGTCAGAGGTCAGGGCAGAGGGAAGCGGAGGGGGGACAGTGGCCGTTAAAGCACATGTGATCATCAAGGGAAACCTCTGTCTTAAAACATGTTAAAAAAGAGGCCTGAGCGAGTGCTGTCGTCACTCACCAGTATCTGTACAGTGAGAAGACCCTCGCCTGCGTCACGGGCATCGATGGTGAACTCCACCGGCAGGCTGGCGGGAACGCCAGAAGCGTTCAGTCCGGGACCGCTGGCACGAACTTTACTGGCATCATGTGCAGGCAACACCTTGATCTTAAATGGACTGAAAAGGGGGAAACAGAGTCACGTACATCTCATTTCTAAAATCAGCTTTGAAGATTTGGTCATAGTCTATTCGCTTCATTAATATTAAGACTTTATTAATACTTTAAGCAGCCCACTCACCTGCGTGGCACTTCTTGGTCTGCATATTTGACACACACAGTGTAAGGTCCATCTTTAGCAGGAGTGTAGATCACCGTGTGTGTGCCATCACCATTGTCCGTGATATTCACTGGCTCTGTCAACCCTAGAATAACAACACAGTTGATCTCTCTGCATGCCTGTCATCTAGTCTAGACAACTGTAAAACACTGTTGATGAATGTGTCTGCAGGCTTCATATGGACATTACTGAATGCAAATCCAGGACTTTCTCCAGCACCAGTTTGTCATTTTCAAGGTCATCACAGCCTTATGCATAAACGTGGAACTAAAGCTATGGTCCTCGTGTCCTTTCACTTACAGTCATTTATAGCCTAATTTGCATTTTTGATGTACACTACTGTTAAAAAATGTGGTTTCATATTTTTTTTCAGGATTCTTTTTTAAAAGAAATTTCAAAAGAACAGCATTTGAATTTGAAGCCTTTCAATACTTTATACATGTTTTTACTGGCACTTATGATCAATTTAATCCATCCCTGCTGAATAAAAAGCATTAATTTTCTTTAAAAAATCTTACTTTTTGAAAAGTAATGTACAATACTAAAAGTTTATTGGACGAAATACATGCCCCTCACTGGTAAAATGTATTATTTACTAAATCCAAAAACCAGCAAAGTTGCATTAATAACGTGTAGTTTAAAATTGATAGAATGCCTTGAAAATGGCAACATTAAATCCTGAGAGGGGAACACTGCTAAATTACTTATGATTTATAGATATTAGGTATCAATATGCATATAAACCACTTCCTCATGTTCGCTAAACACATACATACATCTTAAGTCAGTCTTCCTTGTATTCTAGTGTTTACATTTCTAAAAGCTAAATTGCATTTATACACGTCAAGGACTTTGTCCAAACTCTCTGTGCAATCCATTTTTACCTGTGGGTCCATACAGAAGCACCTCTAGTTGGGCGAGTCCAGCTTTGCTGCAGTCCACGGTGAAGGTTTGAGGGACGTGGGTTCTTACTCCACTTCCCAAACCAGGACCAGAACACTTCACCTTACTTGGATCCACCAACTCCCTCACAGGCACCCTGAATGGGCTACCTAAAAACCCACAGAAATTGTACAGTTACCGTTTTCCTTCATAAAATGCTAAAACAGACCGTGAGGTATGAAATATTCAAGCACTAACTCAAACTGTCCTGATTATTTGCATCCAAACGCCTTAACACTCTCATATACTCAAACTGCTGAAATTCAATGTCAATGCATAATTAGCGTGTTGAGTTCACTTAGAAACAAACCACGGAATGAGTTAGACAAAAGGAAATTACATCATACCTGGGATAGGCAGACCTCCGAAAGTGATGTTGACGTCATATTCTCCAGGAGTGAAAGGAATATACTCCACGCTACAGCTGCCATCTTTGTTATCTTTACAAGACATCTTAGCTTCTGATGGACCCTCAATGGCCAATCCGAGACCACCCGTGCCAGCACCCCTGAAAGAGGAAAATACATACATGGGAGAAAACATAAGTTACAGTAAAATCTAAAAATAGTTATGCAATTACAGTATATTCAGCCCTGTTCACATTCAGTCCAAAGCATGCAAACACCAAAGTTTAAACTAGTAAACCAGATTTGTTTTACAGCAGAACTATTCATATAGGGTTTACTGCTTAATTTTCGTCACTCCCAGTGAATGGCATCGAATGGTTGGTGAGGTTTTTTTTTCATGCAAGCTATTTAAAAAGCATCTGTGATTACATAAAACAATGGCTCATAGATAGTACTTCAGACTTATTGTGTTTGACTCAATGTTTCCAAATGAGCCCATTCCAGAACATGTTCATATTCAACAGCAGGTTTTCGTAGAAATATGTACCTGGTCTCCACAGTGAAGCGGTTGGGTTTGTTGACCAGACCCTCTTCCAGACCAGGACCGTAGGCACGTACACGGCTGGGATCACAACCTTCAGTTACCGCCACCCTAAACGGGCTCTTGGGGACAGGTACGTCATCATACAGCACCTCTATCAGATGCACACCTGCACAAAGACAAAAATAACAGCACTCTTTCACCTATAAATATGATGCTGGAAAGTACTTTCTCATTCTGGCAAGCTCCAATCTGATTGGCTGACTTTAATGGTGCCTCAGTGCTTCTTATCCTGTCTGAGAACTGCCTTCTTTGATGGGAAGAGACTTTGTGGCAATACGGAGAGGGACTGTTTTTTTTTCCCCTCTCTCAATCGATAGTTGTGATGGAATATTATCAAGGCATCATGGGAAAACAGACATCAGCAGTCTCTGCTCAAAACACAATGAACAATGAATGAATTTCCATCTCGCAACACTGACCTCCACACAGAACAATCAATACAGCAGCCGTGCTCGGAATAAAAGACAGTTCTGAGTATGTGTGTGTCCCATGATTCTCAGGGAGGAAAGGGAGGTTCAGTTCAGAAGAAATGCCAACATGGCCTGTTAAATTAATGAAGACTAGGGGTGGAAACACAGGCCGGCTTCAGTCAGGATGAAGCAAGAAAATGACAGACTTTACACAAACTATATAATCTTTAGTTATTGTATGTTAACCCAATGTGCATGGATAACATTTTTCTGACAGAGAGAAAGAGAGAATTATGGCCTAGTCTGGTTTTACTGCCTACAGGTCCATGGATTGAGGATTTTCACTTTTTGCAGTTTCTAGTACTATTAATCATTTGTTCTTTCTGACTCATGGACAATAAATGTGCTACAAAGCATTAATCTCCAAAGAAATTAACACCAAAAGAGTAAAGAATATGCAAAAGAAAATAAATAAATTAGATAAAATGATGCCTATTTTTAAGGAAGACTGGGATTTTTTGAAGGTTTTTATTGTAATATGGTCATTTTTGTTTAATTTAAAATTTCATTGCATTTAATCGCTAATAATGTTCTTAAAATTTGTGTATGAGTCATCTAAATGAAAATTAAGTTCAGCAAAAAATATATATACTTTCTTCCCTATGTACTGGATATCTTACCATCCTCATATGCTGTATACTCCACTCTATAAGTGCCATCTCCTTTGTCAGTGATGTACGCATCAGTGTTGGCACCCGATGGGTTAACAATACGAACTTTGATGTGGTTTCCACCCATCTTGCTGTGAACCCGAGTGTCAACGACAAAGTGTGTAGTGACCTCTCGGAGCACCCCTGTCAAAATACACCAAGTTTTGAAGCACATTGCTAAACACAATGGTACTAAACACAAGCGCATTTAGATGGGCCATCTTACTGTACCTCTGGGTTCCACTCCTGGACCGTAGACCTTGATTCCACTTGTATCGAGAGCAGGATCTACCTGCACCCTTGCAGGGAACTTCGGCACTGCATGTCCTCCATATTTAATTGTGATGGTGTACATTCCGTGGAAAGGAGGGATGTAGGTGATAGAATATGTTCCATCACTGTTATTCTGGACACGAACCTCAGCCTGCGTTCCTGAATCCGAAATAATCTTGATGGTCAACTCCGCCTCGCCTGCTTTAGAGCAGTCCACCTTGAACGATGCCGCTTCGTTGACCTTTCCTCTCTCCAGCCCTGGTCCGCTAGCTGTGACCTTGCTGGGGTCAAAGATAGACTGCACCATGGCTTTGAAGGGAGAACCAGTGATGTGAGCATCAGCAAACAGGATGTTGATGGAATACTCTCCAGGCTCAGTGGGCAGATAGGATACTGAGCAAGATCCGTCTCCATTGTCCTGGCACTCAATCTTGGCTTCACACGGACCCTCCACAGTCAGCCCAAGACCCCCTGTACCTGCACCTTTGGTGTCGATGGCAAATGGAGCGGGTTTACCCACAATACCTCCCTTTAGGCCAGGGCCGTAGGCTCGTACCTTGAAGTAAAAGTAAGACAAAACTGTTGTCAAGATTGAGTTTCAATAACAAATTAAAACAGAATTCTAAAAAAGTCATTCAACCTGAAAAAGAACCAGAAGATATTATACTTTAATATAATTAAATTATACATGTGGTACATGTGGTAAGCAGAATAATAGATTCCAGAACTCTGGAATATTAAAAAATAATGCACATATAAGGTGAAATGGCCACTCTGGGTGTGCATTGAATTTTCAATAATTCAACAGTCCAAAATGCTTTAAGAGAACTAGAGGACAGTCCAATATTTTTCAAAGCCGACCAGCCTTCATCATCTGTATCCATTTATGGTCAGATATCTGTATCTGTTTCGGTATTGTACAGACCAACCCATCTAATGATTCTCAGTGAGACCTCGGCCCAGTGACAGAGAATGGGGCAGCCATTCCACATGTGGATGAAGTACCTTGTTTGGCACACTACACTCGAGTTCACCTTTCCCTGACAGATTAATTAAACACAACTGTCCTGTAATAATTTCCCACAATGGCTAAATTGCCTTTTGTGTTTGTTTTAGGCTTCTTCACTGATATACAAACTACAGCATCTGGCTCAAGGAGAAGAAAAACCCTCACTGGAACAATCCAGCCCTGTAGAGAACAGGCAACAAACAAACATACAATTAAATTAAATGGGTTGACTTTGGAACCAGCATTCCTGGAGTAAACCTCTACAAACAGAAAATTTCCTTGCACTGAGGATCAAGAAATATTGTTTTTAAAAATCTGGTTGTAGTTTAGTTTGAACATTCTGACTCCAGTTAGTGGTTCATAAACTCTCTGAAGGTTTTTCTGATTTGTGAGGTAAGGATTGCACGGTACAGTCCAATTTCTCTGGTTACTCCTAAAATGCATTCCATGTTTCTCCTCATATGGAGAGTATTATCATCCTAGCCAGCTCTTAGTATGTATGTTGCCATAAGCTTGAGAAAGCGTACATGAATGACTTGAAATGTCAAGTCCGTATCTCTAATGAGATCATTTGGGTAACAAATGTTTTCCAATCAAAAGGATTTGCAGAAATCATGAAAATTCAGTTGAATAAGACAATGACGGGTAAACAAATGAATCGCATTCTCCTATTTGTAACTCCTACCTTTGAGGGATCTGGAGGCATCACTCCCTCCACCGTGAAAGGACTTCCAGGCACGGGGTTTCCATCATAGCTGATGTCCACTTTGTAGGGCCCCTCTTCCGGGGGAATGTATTTAACAGTGTGCACCTCATTGGATGCTCCAGATTCAACCTTGCACGGGATTGGCCGGTGAGAAGGTGAGGTAATCTTGACGTCCACCTTTCCTTGACCTCCCGCACCACGTGTGTTAATGGTAAACTCCTCATCTTTTCCTACATCGACTTCTAAACAGATAAGCACACAAAATATGTACAATAAATACAATCAGCATAGCTAGAATTTAATTTCACACTTAAACTGCTGTGGACTTACTGTTGTTGAGTCCTTGAACTTTGACCTTGTTGAGATCCAAAGGAGGAGCAACAGTGATGGTAAAAGGGCTTTTGGGGATGGGGTCACCACCATGGCACACAGATATGCTCATGTTACCCTGCATCACAAAACAAACAGGATAGAGCAAGATAGAATTTATAATATTGTAATATTATAATATATAATATGACCACTTGGTGTCCATTTATATGAACAGCAACCCAGTGTTGGAGTGCCTCACCTGCTGTAACGCAGTGTAACGCACAGTGAAAGAATAGTCGTGGTTATCGATGATCTCAAAGTCACTGACGGCTTCTCCTTTCCCAGCTGTGGTGAAGTGAACCTCAGGTGTGGCCTTGCCTGCTCCTTTAGTGTAGATCATGAAGTGGGTCGGCTTGCCCACTTCCACACCTGTGACAAAGACACATTAAATGAAGATGAGATAGCTATCTTTACCTACTATTTTTCTAATTTCAGTCACTGACAATCAAACTGACCTGTCTTGTTGAGTCCAGGACCCTCTGCCTTTACTTTATTGGCATCATGGGATGGATCAACTTTGATACGGAAGGGGCTGATTGGAATTTCCTGTTAATTCATTACAAAATGCATTTATAGATCTCAAATTGCATAGAGAAGAATTTGGTATTATTGACTGAGACTCACTTGATCAGCAAATAGCACCATGATGGTGTACCGTCCGGCTCCAGGGGGTGTATACTTCACTGTGAATGTGTCGTTGTCATTTTTAATGATGTCAAAATCAATATCTGCTTCGGCAGGTCCCACCACGCCAGGAGCACACTTAATCCCAATGCTGACATCTCCTAAGGAGAACAGAACAGATTGGAGAAAAATAAAATAATTTATGATCAGATTTGGTCAAATTTGACCATAATAAGTATTACGAAAGCAATTATGTTGGCTCTGACCTTGTCCGGCCTCACTGCAATCCACAGTAAAATATGTGGGTTCACTAGCCTTCAAGCCAGTCTTCTCCACTCCTGGTCCATGAACCTTCACGTTCTCTGGGTGACTGCCTTCTCCAATGGTCACCTGAGAAATGTAGAAAGACCAGAGTACTGTAAAACTAGAAATTTAAAGCTTTTGGAGGACAGTGGTTCTTGTAAAGTTATGATCCAATATGGAATCTATGACCATGTAAATGGGAAAGTTTGAAATCTAACACTGGAAAAATGTAGTCATGGTCTTTCACTGAAAGGCTGAACTTGTTGTAGATCCAGTTTATGAAAGTTCTTGACAAACAGCAACATGAAAATGTCATCAGCTGGCTGAAGTCTGCCTGTTGACAGTGAGCTCTCACCCTGAATGGACTGTTGGGAACGTTGACCTCTCCCCAGGTGATGATGATAGTGTGTTTGATGGGCTTGGTGGGTATGTAGATGCAGAAATATGTGCTGTCACTATTATCTGTGATCTGGATGTCGATGGGGAAGCCTTCTGAGTCCTTGAATAAAAGATGGACAAAAACGTTTTTGTACCAATGAAGTGAGGCATGAGGCATCTGGGACTTGAATGAAAATGTACCTGAGCGTAAATCTGTAGATGTCCTCTTCCAGCTCCACGGGCGTCAATTGTAAATTCAGCAGGTTTGTTTACAATGCACCCGGTTGGTTCTAGCCCAGGGCCGTAGCACTTAACCTGCATAAAAGCATGAGTTAGTTTAGGTACGGCTGTCATTTAATATTCCCAACGAATGTGCAATCATTATTGCCGATTGTCAGGGCACACCTTCTCAGGAAAGACATCATTGGCTGCAGGGAGGATGTGGGCCATAAATGGGCTGTCTTTGATATCTTCATCATCACAGATGACATGGACCGCATAGTCACCAGGCTCAGTGGGCCAGTACAAAACATCACAAGATCCATCTCCCTTATCATCACACTCTATCTTAGCCTGTGAGGGGCCTTCGATGGAGAAACCTGTGCATGGAAAGAGTTTCAACCATTTCCCAGGCATCTTATCACACCATAAACCAGGGGTTGATAGCTTAAGCCCTCGAGGTCCACTTTTCTCCAGAACTTAGCTCCAACCATGACAAACTCACCTGCCTGTACTTTCTAGTAAGCCTGAAGGCCTTGATTAGCTTGTTCAGGTGTGTTTGATTAGAGTTGGAGCTAAACTCTGCAGGAAAGTGGACCTTGAGGGCCAGAGTTGAGAAGATCTGCATAAACACCAGATCTCTGGGTACAGTGGCTCAAAAATGTTAAAGAAGATACTTACCCAGAGTTCCAACCTCAGTGCCAATGGCCTCGACCACAAAGTCAGCTGATTTGCCAACCATGCCCGTCTCCAAGCCTGGACCCCAAGCCCTCACCTTCTGAGGGCCTGCATCTTCACTTATGACCACCTCAAATGGGCTACACACATATACACATTTTGATCAGAAGTGAGACGGATGATGTTCATGATAATCGGCATAATTCCTAGATGATCTTTCTGAAATAACACTTCCATATCCTGTATCATCCTTTTAATATGGTCAACAGATTTTAATATTTTTGGAAACAGAAATGGGACTACACCACAGTAAACTGGTGGAGGTTTAAAAGCATCCTACCTGCGGGGAATGGCGTGGCCACCCCAAGTAATGGTGATAATGTATTTTCCAGTGAAAATGGGGTAGTAATCACATTCATACACACCGTCTCCCAGCTCTTGCACCTTCACAGGCTCATCGCCACCTCCTGCAAACACAAAATTTAATTCAGCTAACTAACTTTATGATGCAATTTTGATTAAAACAGAAAAAAATCAACAATCGTTGTTGCAGTCAAAACAGTTGCATGCATACTTGGCCCTTTGACTTGAACACGTAGTTCTCCACTGCCTGCTCCCTTCGTGTACACCTTAAAGTCGGCCACCTCCTTCACACGCACACCCTTGGGCTGCAGGCCGCGCCCGATGGCCCGACAGGCATTCGGGTTGCTTGCTAAAAAGAGGAAAGAGTAGTTATTCTTGATCTCACAAGGTAATAAGTACAAAGGCGAAAAAAGTTTAATGAAACGTACACACATGAATGGAGATGAAGTTGTCAATGTTAGTTATGCATATAGACCCAGCCAAAGGTATGAGCAATGAAGAACAAGAAAAACAAAGAAAGAATGTTTCCTTTAAAAGCCTATGACAAAGCAATTAGCAATCTCATAAAGACCCTATTAGGAATGTAGCGAGACCACTATAATGAAAACTACAGGCATACTGATCAGTGTTCTCAAGAGCTTATAAAAAGGCTTAAAATAAACACAATATTTGTAGTTCGATACAAGAACCAGCTGTGAAGGATATAAGCAAACTTTTTTTTAATATGTGGCTTACTGTTAAGGTTTGGTGTTTCACACTAAGTTCACTAATGAGCTCTTTTAGAGCAATAAAATGCCTATTAAAACAGTCTGGCACAGTCCTGAGTGCTTTCTCAGAACTGATCAAACAATTTCGTCTTCCAGTATCTGTTTCTTCAAGTGCTGGATAAAAAGGCAGAATAAAGTCTACAAAATCACGTTAGGTGAAAAAATTGAAAAAGTAGTGTTAATTGAATAATTAATTAGTTAAAGTTACTTAATTGTATACTTCAGTTAGGAAAATCATGTTAAGACAGATAATTAAAGCATTCCCATTCTCTGAGTTAGTATTTATAAGGCGACACGGCCAAATCGAGCAACTGCCGAGATGATGACGACGATCATGATGACAATGATGGGATGAGGATGATGATCTCTAAGATGAAGATGACTATATTACACACCCAAACGGTCACTCAGATATTGGCTCTCTGATGCCAAATAAGGTTCTAGCATCTTAATTTTTAAGGCTTTAGAAATTGTAGGTGTGAAATAGATGCAATGTCAGTTCAGGTTAAAGTGAATAGTTTAAACAAGGGCTGTTATATTAACACATTAAACACATAAATAAAATAAAATAAAATCTTGATTGATTAACATCTTCAGCCCTAATTTAAACCAAATTGTTACTATTGTTAATTTATTTCATTCTTTTCTTTAAATAATTAATTAATTATAGCATTGGGTTAAATTTGTTAAATTCTGAATTATTATTACTAAATTATAAATATTAGCAGAATCCAATCAAAAGTAGTCCTGGTGTGCCGAGCGTCCAGTCCCACCACTGAATGGTGGCTCTTTTTCTGCATCGGTTAAAACAAGACCAGCAGCAGCATTCGCAACACTTGTCTAACCTTCTTCTTACTTTCAATCACACTCTCACTTTTACTCACACTCACTTTCATCCCATCACTTCCTGTATCTATCTAAGCTTCCTGTTGATTTTAGCTGCCCCAGAGGGCAAAGCGCCAGCGCATGCCAACGAGCCAGAGGTGGCGTGCCCGAGAGAGGACACATCCAGGGTGAGGGAAGAAGAGGAGACAAGAGGGAGGGGACCAAGCTCGAGCAGGCATTTGCCACGCCCCCCGGGTGGCCCGTACTAACTTGGTCGCCTGGGTTTGGGTGGTGTTGAGGGAGGCATTTTCTTGGCCTTTTCTGAGGGCGGCGTGCGTATAGACTGAGGGATTATGTGAACCGGGGAGCCGATCTGCCGGCCGCTCGGAGGAGCTAGAACGACACACACAAGCGAAAGAAAAGAGAGGAAACACAATAAAGTGTTTCGTCATCATCAGGAGGGTGGTGGACCCCTGGAGCAGTGAGCAAACGGAGCTCAAAACCAAACAGCCTGGTCTCAGTCAGTGCCACAGAAAGCAGGTCTCTCTGGGACTTGTCCAGTATCAGCATGCTGTCAATCAATCAACTCTGAACTCATTACAAGAGGGAAATAAGCTCTTTAGGTGCAAAATGCCACAACTGAAAACACCAGCATACTGAAACTTGTGGTCTTCAACAGCAAGCCAACCAGATTCATCAGAAAAACCCTAAGCTTTAGTCTAAGCTGGTCTTTTCAGCAGGTGCATAATACATTTCAGAAAGAACGTGGCATGCTTTTAATGCAGCAAAAAAACAACAAGTCGAAGGCTCAGGCAAAAAAAAGCACTTCTTGATTTCTTGGTGCATTAACAGCTTTGGTAAAGAAGACTCTGCAGGACATCTAACTTATTTTATCAAGGAATTAAGATCACAAAGTGAAGACATGGGTCTCACCCTCTGAGATGTGAACAGTGAAAGGGCTTCTGGGTATCTGCTGGCCAGCGAATGTCACATATATAGTGTGAGGGCCCTCCAAAATGGGGCCGTACGTGCAGCGGAAAACACTGTCGCCCTTGTTTTCCAGAATGATCTCCACTGTGTCTCTGCGGCCCTGAGAGTCCACAATGATCACACCGACATCACCTGCTCCTGCACCTGAGTCACAAATACATGAGTTACAAATACATATAAATAGTTCCTAGTTTCACAGCAAGCAGCATCATTTCACTGTCATTACCTGCTGTGTAGATGTCAAAATAGGTGGGTTTATTGGCCACATTGCCCACGGATTCCAAACCTGGCCCACGGGCCTGCACCTTGTTCGGGTCTCCCAGTGCTTTAGACACATTTACTAGGAAAGGGCTTCTGTCAATGTCCTGTCCAGCAAACAACACCTTCACCTGAAGGAAGAAAGAAATATCCCTCAGATACAATCACTCCATTTCATCTGTCACAGTTAAAGCTCCATTTTTGTTAAACCTTACAAAGCTGCTGTCTGCCATCAAGACCTAACAAGACTTAGAACATTCATAAATGCTGAAAATATGACCGCAAAATGACAACAAAAACCACTGCGCATTGCTTATTATTATACCTTATGCAGACCCTCCACTTTTGGGACATAGACCACAGAGTAGCTCCTGTTCCTGTCATTGTTGGGAATTACTCTGGCCTGTGAAAAAAGACATATTAGTAAGAAATTCACCAGTTAGTTGTTAAAACGTTTTTTTTTTTTAATTCTTGTGTATCCCTGCAGTCCTATTAATAAGGTTCAAGAACCTTATCCTCATTCAATTAAAAAACAGAATTGTGTTACTATTAAATCATATTAGATAAATCAGCATAGAATTTTTTATATATTTTATATATTTATATATTTTTATTTTACATTGTATTTTTATTGTATTTTTATTTTATTTTATTTAGTGAATATTTAGACAGGTATGGATTTAAACTGTATGAAATATTTTATTCATTTTTATTTTATTTATCATTAATTATTATTATTAATTTTTTATTATTTTTAATAAACATAACCAAACCTAAATTATTATTATTAATATTTTGTATCATTATTTTTATTATTATTTTCTTGAATAAAAGAACATCAAAATCTTGCCAATACCACCAGGAACCTGCATGGTTTACAAATAGTCCTGGCTGAGAGATGCTGGATTGTTTTGAGATGAAAAAAAGTTTGAGTTAGAAGATGACCTCTTCTGTGTGGCTCTCTGGATCCTCGATGTACACCAACACCTCTCCAAGCCCGGCCTCCACGGTCTCCACCACAAACTCAGCTGGCCTCAACACGACATTACCTCTGGGCTCAATACCTACAGAGAGATGCAAAAATACAGAGGATTAAGTTGAGGAAGAGTAGGCTCGATGTTCTCATCTCCTAATCACTGTCTGTCATTCAGAAGTGTTAAAGGGGTCATATGATGTTGCTAAAAAGAACATTATTTTGTGTATTTGGTGTAATGAAATGTGTTTAACCCCTTTAACATCATCATCATCTGTCAGTCTCACCTGGACCATAGGCCTTGGCTCTCTTGGGGTGCAGGGTTTTAGATCGCAGTGGGGCACCAGGCTTGAGTTTGGCTTTGGGGAACTGAGACAGGTAGGTCATCACTGAGTGCTCGTCCACATTAGGATCCACGATCTCCTCAGGAGCAATCACCTGGATGGACAAAGTGCAAAATTAGAGGCCAGAAGTTACTTGCTACATAGTGGTTGATTTCTGATTTCAATCCTGGAAGCTATTCAAGCTATATTTCTCAATCCAGCTCCTGGGGCAACCAGTGTACCATATTTTGGAAGTCTTCCTCATCAAAAACACCTGATACAACTCATTATACATCATACAACCAGTAGTAGAGGTAACATTGACCTGCAATAGCTGAATCAGATAGCAAAACACCTAAAATGCGCATTGCAGTAGCCCTCAAGAACAGGACTGAGATGAAGAAGCATATCTCACTGACTTCATTTAACATTTTCTTTGAGTACCGTCACTGCCAGAATCGATCGTCAGATATAAACACAGCTCTATTCTGTCATGGTCTAAGGCACAAAACTGATGAAGTACACAATGTTTTCAAAGCTGTGGAAAATATTTTCTGTCTCTCCTCTCCCCTCAGTCCCGTCTTTCATGTCCTACTGGTTAAGTGTCCTGCTATATTTAACACTAGACTGGAAGGTTAAGAGCTAAATGCAAATAACTCTAAATGGTATTTAACACAGCAGAAAGACAGAAGTGGAGATTGAACGAGAGACCAACAGGGACAGGAAAAGAAATATGCACCTTGTTATTAAAACCCATAATTTAACCTCTCCTGCTGCAGCGATAGCCTACTCCAAAGCATTCAATGACCATTGTTTTCTCTTAATAGATGTGGACTCTCTATTTGTCTCAATTACTCAAAAACAAATTTGTGTTCTAGTGTCCACTAAGGTTTCCAAATCTGATTTTTAGAACTGACTGTCATAGAACTATACTGTCATTTGATAAGTGATTAAAACAGATTTGTTTGTTCCATTTTCTACTCTATCTGTTGTTGACAGCAGTAAATATCTCATAAGCACAACCTTCAAATGTTTGGGGTCTGTAAGAGACTACATTTATTTGATCAAAAATACATTAAAGGCAGAAATATTGTAAAATATTTTTACTGATTGCTATTTTAATATATTTTGAAATGTAATTTAATTCTGTTAAAATGTTAAAATTGAAATTTCAGCATATGATACTTCAGAAATCATTTTAATATGCTAATATACATTCTAGGTTAATATATAGTATATATTATAAACTAATATATTTGGTGCTCAAGAAACATTTTTTTATTATTATCTATGTTGAAAACAGTTGTGCTGTTTAATATTTTGGTGAAAACTGTAATATATATATACTGTATATAGGATTCACAGCATCTATGTGAAATGTATTTTTTAACATTATTAAAGTCTTTACTGTTGCTTTTGATCAATTTAAGGCATCTTTGCTGAATAAAATTATTAATTTCTCATGTATAGACACTACTGTGTATTATGATGTTACGTGCACCTCACGTTTTACTTATGAACAAAAATATTTGAATTATTAAAATACATTTCTTATATTTAAAGCATTTAGATGTTAAGCATACGGTTACATCTGAAGATTAATTAAAACATGATTTTGATTCGATTTCAAACCACCCGGAAATGTGGCACTAACATTTTTTGCTCTTCAGACTACAAAATCTAACCAGTTTAGTGTTTATCATGCCAAAAAAACTAATTTGTACAGTCTGTGTGAACAATGCCCCAGATTCCTTTACACTCTCTGATTCACACACACTCACACAAGGATCATTCAGAATAATGAGGTCATAATATAATTTCAGTAGCTAAAAGCTACTTCTTAAAGTCAACACTGGCCTATAAAACAGCCAGCCTTGCTCTGCTAATGAAGAAAACAGACTCAGATCAGGATACATGGCATGAGCCCTAATAAATATAAGCGACTGCTTCTTACCTGAGGCACACCGAGCCAGTCGTCGGCTTGTTGCATGGCTTCTCTTGCATTCTCCACTGGCTGACTCAGGTCCCATGTCTCCCAGTCCGGACACAGGCCTTAGATGAAGACACAGACAGAGTTTGATGCAAACAAGTTAGTCAACTCTTGATAAAACCATGAGAAACATTTTCTAAATCAGAACTGCTACTGTATAGGTCTAAAATGCACTCTTACTTTAAATGATCTTGCATATTGCATTATACACGTAGATGAATACAAAAGAGCCAAAACTGAGCTTTATCTTGGGCTGCAGACCCACTGTTCCACAGCGAGGATCTATTAATCCATGTTCTTTAGTTCAACTTGAACTTAAATGCTCTCAAATGAGCAGTTTCCCGTCAGTTCACCCTTTTTTCCAACCTTTAATAAGCGCGGTCAGGCTCGTAGCACCGAGCGCTTCCCTGAAGCAAACACACACCAGTGCCGTCTGGAGTAAAACTGTTATTATATGCTGGATTACACTCAAAGAGCAAGAGGTGTTTAGTTCAGATGGAACCAGAGAGCCTTGAAACCACAAGACTCCTCAACGACTGCCAAAACGTTAATATCAGATCTAGGATTGTTTTCCAAGATTCTCCAGCACAGCGGCCCCATACTTGGATTGGACAGTTAGTATCTGTAACAGGCCCCATTCTACTGCTAACACTGATAAACCTTTAATTTTAGGTTTTTAATGCATTACAACTTCCCAAGAGTGGTATTTACAGTTCCCGGCAGATCCAAGATGGTGGTAGGAGAGTAACATAACCACCATTAATAGCGGAAAACAAAATAGGTGGAGGAAACGACAGGGGAGGTAAACAAAGTGTGAATGTGGCACAGTCTGTATGCAGTTATTTTTTGAGGAAAATCATAGTTTAAAAAGTTTGAGACTTCTCAAGTACAGTTCACTTTCCATTAATAATTCATAAAACGTAAATCAAATGAGAAAAATGTCTCATACAATATGAAATCGATCACAAATTGATCACAACTTATTACAATAAAAATATAGCTAATGTTTAGATTTAGAAGGACTTGATTATTCTTTCTGTGCACGTCAATGGACGATTATAAAAACTTGAAACATGAAAAATGTATTCAAATAAAATGTGAATAAAGAGAAGTATAAGGGGTTTTAATATATTGTAATAAACACATAGGCACTGAAATACTGGAATAAATACTTCATCTAACTTTTCTGGCTTCACTCCTACTAAGAGATGCTTTTCCACACATGCACACGGGGAAAAATGTAATTAAGTGCATGTTGGCAGGAAATGCATAAAGCAGCATGTGTTTTCACTTAAGCATGTTTGCTGTCTTAGCTTCTGACACTTTCCATTCAGTTACAGCAGAGACCAGGGGCTCATTAGCAGCTAGCAGAGCCAACAAACTCACACACACCTGAAACATGCAAAGATATTGCATCTTTCACCTCTCACGATGCTTCTCAGGGTCACAATGTCAACCCTACATTTTTAATTTGAAGACAGTGGTTGTGTTTTATGGCAGTGCCATTCAGTTTCTCAGCATTGGAGGAAAAATACAGCAGTGAAGCCATCTGAGGAGTGCTATTGTTTTATCCAATTGTTTTTCATGTATCACCCCTTGCTGGACTCGACCCAACTAACTTCTAGTTAACAGCCCTTTCAGTCAGTACATAAACCACTTCTACTGATTAATCATTTTTAAAGATCTCAATATTACAAGCTGTTTTTGACACCAGTCAAATCCCAGTCCTGCACTTGAAATAATATTGAATGTTAAAGCAGTGCATTTAGTTGTGGCCCAATGTGTTTGGGTGTGAAATGAACCCTAAAATGAGAGTGTACAGCTGCCTTCCACCCACCGCCACATTTACACATGTTCTCCTTACTAAAGTCAATGAAACTGCTGTTTGTGTTTGTCAAACATGCTGAACTCTTTTAAACACACCTCTAAACGACTTGGAAGATGGAAACATTTCAACATAAGCTAATGTCATTCATAAAATATTTAAACAAAAGACAAATCGAGGCATTTAGTACTAATTCTATTTTCTAAATGCATGCTATTTGTCTTATTGTGAACGATTGATCCAAGTTTCATCACATCAAAACACGTAAGAAAAAGTAGGACACATTCCTTGATCAACTCTCTATCACTCTATCCATTAGGTATCCCTAATATTAGAGGAACATTATTGTTGCTCAAGCTTAGCACTAACTCTAACTTCTGATTATTTGATTGGAATGTTGTAACAAGTTTGTTGATCCAAGAGCATGTTCTAGGTTGCTATGTTCTAGCATGTCCTACTCATTTCCCAAAGGATTTATAGCCAAGTCCTGAGAACATTCACAATGCCAGAATGGCAGCTTTGATTACAGAGTTGACAAGGATGGACATGCACACTTTCAAATGGACTTGACCTGTCCATTAAACCCTCTCTGAACTGCACGGGGTTCTGGATTTTCCACTAGTGTAAGTCCAAACCTATCCAGAAGTATTCGATTCATGAATCATGTTTTGGAAAGCAGTGATCACTTGTTTTGAGGTCGCCAATTGTTCTCTTCTTCTCTTGGCTCTGGTCTTTCCACAGTGAGATCATATGCTGTAATTATCAAACCAGCTTCCCATCTCCTAAGGCAAAGCAGATTCTGCATGACTCTTAACATCTCCCTGATGAGTATTACAGGTCCCTCAATCTACTTAATGAAGATAGTTTTCCATGTAAGACCACACGTGATTAATGACACATTTGCTGCCAAGTGGTCATAAACCACAGATTTCTGCTCACCAGGTGCGCAATTATCCACCAGTGCACCGAGGGCTTTGCCATCTCTCCAGTCCCTGTGGAAGTTGTTGATGGGCAGCTGGGGGACCTTGTTCTGGATCCAGCCCAGAAGGCGCTGTTTGGGCGTCAGCTTCCTGGCGTCTTCATCGTCCTCATCCTCCCACATGGGCATGGAAATAGAGTAGTGCAGAATAAGGGTCCATATCAGCCCCAGGATCAGTTTTAGGTTGCCGTCCACTATAGCTTTACTATCTGTAATGAGAAAGAGAAAAACTTAAATGTATTATTCCACACATGAGTGCTGAAACACCTTTTGTGGAGATACTGGGAATCATAAAAAGACAATGAGCAGAGAACCATATTGGTTTTGAGACTATTTTAAATCTGAGAGTTTCAATGCTTGGCGTAGGAAACCATTAAACATTCTGAGGTTGGTTTTTATTACTCCTGTGGTGCTACTGTGAACACATATTAGTTTAGGGTGAAGTTCAGAAGCTCAGGGTGAACTGAAGGGGGATCGGTCAAGTCAACACGCACTAGAAAAAAAAACGTTTTCAGGCCAAATATGAGCTTAGGATACAGCGCTAACATCTACCTTGTCTGAAATAATGACAACACCTGTGTTTATTTTTCAGATGTCCTCCCTAGCATTGCATGTTGTTCTTGAGCCACGATCGTGCCATTTTTTGTTTATCCAGAGAGATTCGCAGCGCACTGTTTGTTCTGCTCACCTGCTGTGTTGATAGCTTTCACAGGTTTAGATGTGCACAAATAAAACAGCAAGGACAAACTCTCTCAACATGGATCTTATGGCTTACTATTGCACACACAAACGTAGACTATGATCCATGTAGTATACTTGAATTCACTCAAAGTATACTTTCACATAGGGTACATATTTGTGTCCCATTACTATCCAATTACAATGTAGTAAAGACACAAATCCCATGTTCTTCTGAGAGATAGCTTATAAAAGTTATGCATCTAATACAAAACTAAAATAGCATGTAAAAAAATTTTCAAATAACTAACTAAATAATAATAAAATAAACTGATCATTTAATTATATTAATCAAATATATTATTAATTACAAATAATAACTAGTGACAAATATAACACAAATTGAGGTATTAAACTGTGTTTAGAAATATATTATTTGGTCCAAATGTGATGGTGCAAACCTAATATAAATACCAAAAAATAAAAATAAAAGTTCAAGCCCTATTTTATACCCGGTTATTCATAGAAAGTGTTTTTACTCATTACCTTTACCCAAATCTTTCCTTACACTGCCCTGCTACAGTCAAAAGACTTTGGACTACAGTGTGGAATATGAATTAAGATGTACACTACTAAGCCACTGACTGAATGCCAAAGGCTGATGTCATTTAACCCTGGATCTCTGGAATGAGGTCAGTTTAAATAAAACACACACACAGATGAAACTTAATCGGGACACTGGCTGAATCTGACTACACTTTGCTTCAATCCCCAGCGGAGCTGTCTGCACTAAACACTGCAATGTACGCAGCGGTCTGGGGGTAATCCAATATCGCCAATCAAATAATACTGCCAGTTTCTGTTTTTCTCTCTCATTCTTGCCTTGCTCTAATCAAACAAGTTCCAGATCAAATTCTTCACTGCTCTTTGATATATTACTTTTAAGATTTTCTCATACGTTTGGCGAGGACCACGTGTTACGCCCCCTCTCAAGAACAAGGTTTAAAGGGGTCATTTGATGCGATTTCAATTTTTCCTTTCTCTTTGGAGTGTTACAAGCTCTTGGTGCATA